ACTACTACTGCTGCTACTACTACTACTACCACCAATGATACTAATGATCATCATTAGCATAATGCACGTTACGTGCACATACACATATACCTATATAGTAACATGCGCGTGTATATATATATATATATATGTATATGTATATATATATATATATAGAGTAATATATATATATCTCATAAACATACACACACATACAGTAAACCATATATGTATATACATATACTTATTTACATACAAATGCATTCTTCAGTTTTGAGACAACAACCACATCCGATCAGTGCTCAGGTGGCCGCATCGCCTCCGTCCGCGGCCTGGGGCCAAAGAAGGCCATTACGGAAATTGGATTTTCAACTGGTTGGGTTGAATTGGGTTGTTCAAAGGGTTGGTGAGGTGGGTTTCTTCTGAACTTCGGGTTTTCCGTCAACCCTTTTCATGAGTGCCTCCCAATTTTGAGCACAAGAGCGTGTATACCAATGAGGAGAAATAAACATTTGCAAAAGACCTACGAACACTTTCCCGGTTTCGCGCATCACAATACTGTTGTTTGTTTGTCAGATATTCTGTTTGTCAGAGTTGGCGACTTTGGGGATACACCATCCAACCAACAGGAAGCCCACAGCACCCTGCAGAAATCCAAAAGCCACATTATGCTCGATACTGAATACAGGTAAGCACCAGTATCCACCTCGTAAGTTGAATCATCACTACGCCATAGGCGCATTTTCTAGCATTCTCACAGTTTGGTGCGGGGCCCGGCATCATTCCTTGGCAGGATCTCGTGGTGGAAGCAGGAGCCTACCGCCGCTCGGACACGCATGGACCTGGGTGGTACTTTTGGAGTAGGGCGCTTTTCTGCGCGGCATAGCGGCATGGCGGCCTTGCCCCACTCACTGGCCCTGCCCTGTTGGAAAACCTGGGTTGTGAGTTACTGTGGGGCATTCGCCGACTGTGAAATGAGCACTTTCTGATCTGATGCCACTCTCCCCATGGCAACACTCTTGGTATGAAAGGCACCTGGATCAGCCGGAGGTGACCAACTCATTTTGTGCTTGGGTCTTGTCGTCAGCAAAGCACAGGCGATTTTCCGCATGGACATGAGAGGACAACAACTCATGCTGGAACCAATCACGCTATTAGCAACTGAAACCCGGTGAAGCAGTTTGACAGACTGAGACAATTGCGGAAAAGGGATTGGCAATGAAATCATGGACAACTATGGTAATAGGAACGCACGACACAAATAGCAGGAGATCATGTAAGCGCACAGAGCACACAACAAGCAAGAACACTTGATGGACCGTCTCACCAGGGTCAACAATCATGAAAGCAACAATTACATGAGGCAGCCCACTCAGGTTGGAGAGGGCTCGCGCTCAAAGAATGTCTTGAGTCAGGAAGCTTTGTTTTTGGCAGCTTTCCCTCACAATAGTAGCTAGACCAAAAACAGCCCGGCAAGACCTTGAACACGAGAATCACATGGATCATTTGTCTTGTTGACGTGTCGGGTTTGACACGTTGACAAAGCCCGAGGCTTTGTGCCACAGCCCGAGTGCAACGAGTACGGCCCCCCAGGCAGGGTTCTGAGAAATGGTGTTTGAACGAGCGCAACCTACCCCACCCACTAGCACGGATCCCATCAAAGGATCCATTTAGAGGAACATGTCCAAGCCAGCCCCGAGTCAGAGGGATCAGGATGCTCAAAAGTGGCTTGAACAAAGGTTGAAACGGGTCGGACACCTGCCAGGGCAACGGGAGACCAAGTGCGAGTGGACGCCCTTGACCGCGCACCTGGTGAAGGAGCCCTCCCAAAGTCGGAAATGAGCCCTCGATCATTTTCAGCGATTTTAAGCCCTCTGAAACTTGCAGGGAACGAGGTTCCAAGCGCCTCCGTTTCGGGCAGGACGGTCGGGTCATGAGCAAAAAGCTGGGACCACGGGGGTTTGTCTCAAACAGGGGACCCTCCAGAATGATTGGGTTTCCTCAAAAGAAGACACCCCCATAAATTTCCTCCCTCACCGCCAAAGTGGCAGGAAACCTCCAAATCTGGGCCATGGACTTGATGGACCTTCACTAAACATGTCCGCAGGATGCGCTGAAGCTGAAGACCAAGCTCTACGACCCCTTCCCAGGCAGCTTCGCAGGATGTTGGCAAAGCCGGCGGTTGGGACACGAGACAACCTGAGATTGGAAGTTTCAAAGTAGGAGCTGCCTCGCAGAAGTTTTGTCTTTTTTCTCAGAAGCAGATGGGGGTTTCTCCCAAACACGGGGGTTTGCCCACAACATTGGATTGGTATTGGTCTCCCCTAAGCCCCTTTCAGCATCCCGGAGATCGCCGTGTTGCCTGTGCCAGTCCAAGATGGTTTCCATTTTCAGACCACTCATGTGTAGTGTTTTCTTGGGGAGGTCATGGTTTGCGGAGGACATGGGTTTCGAGTTTTTAGTTGAAACCAAAGCATCTTAGAGCCAGCCATGTTCTTGACACAAAGGTGACCACTCTGCCATGGAGAAGATTGTGGACGAGAACGGCCACAATGCGGGCTATGCCACCTTTGTCGAAACCATGGCGCAGCAAGCGAAGGAGAGCAAGAAGCTGGCGATTTTCTTCGGGCACGAGGCCGGCTGAAGTTTGCCCCGCGATTTTCATGGGGATAGGGGGAATCGCAGGTCAAAAGCAAAGCGCCCGGAGTGGAAGGGATGGACACAAACTCCTTCAAGGACTTGAACAGAGGATCCCTCAGACAAGTCAGCACTGGCTTTGGACCATTCACCTTGAGCCATAGGCAAGGTGCAGTCCAAGAGCCTGAGGTGTAGTGTGCCTGCCTGCAAGAAGTCCCAGCCGCCCATGACATGGATAGGTGGTGGGCCTTCGTCGTGGCAACGGCTCTGACGTCATTTTGTCTGTGTGGCTGCCTCAGCATTTTCCAAACTTGCCGCTCATGTCACACGCGGGAAAAACTGATCCAAGGCTTTCTAAGTCGAGGCATTGCCTGTTGGTTTGCCATGGATCCCCCTTCGGCGAAACCATCATGGAAGTAGACTGGAAGACAACCATCCTCTAGACGAATCCCCTGGTCCACTTCCATGATTTTGGAAAACGGGCCGTGAGCAAGCGTTTTCCGGAGAGCTTCCAGACCATGGCAAAAGTCTGGTGTGCGCAGCATCTTGGCCCCCCCCCCCCAACCCCCCCCTGCCGCCCTCCCTAGGCAAGGGCCTTCCAAGACCTTTGAGGCGCTCAGTGGGCTGGGGGGGCGGCGCTCGCGATCAGGGAGCCTTCAGTTGTTCCGAAAACCCGGAGAAGGAAGGGGCGACAACAGCAACAGCCAAGGTAAATGATGTCTAGCAAAGGGTTCAATTTCAAGTCAACAAGCATACCCCAGTGTCTTGGAATGCCCCTTTGGGCCCCATCTAGAAAGCAGAACCGGACCCAGTATATATATATATATATATATATTTATTTTGCAACTATCAATGTCACTGGTAGTAAAAGGGAAACAGCCATTTCCAGTTTCCGACTTTGATGGCCAGAGCCCGTGAAACTAACTCTAAATGGTAGTGTAAATGGGTTTCCCAGCGGGATCCACCAGAAACTTTGAGCTTTCCTAAAAACGGACCCACGTTAAGAGGGGCCCACTGTATTTTTGCACAACTGTTGTTAAAGAACCTCCACTTGGGTTTCCATTCAAAGGGCACCTGCGCATACCGCCAACCCGAGGTTGAGGCCTCAGCGGCGCTGCTGAACATCCCCCAGCTGCCGCTGCTGCGGCTGCTGCGCGCCAGCGCCCAGGCGGGGACTCGCAGTGGGGGCTTTCACCATGCCTTGGGCTTCCTTTCGCTCGAACGCCTCGAATTTTCACCTCAAAGGATTGCAGGTGAAAGGAAAGCGCAAGGCGTGCGGGAAGCGACACTGTTGATAAGTGAAGCTTGCGGGTAATCTACATTGTTTGGTGCTTGTCGATGCAGCTGTTCTGTTTCGCGTAAGCAGGTGCGCTGGGAATGAACTGGTGGACCCCTTCCCCGCATACACATTAAGGTCACCAGTTTCCTTTGAATCCATTCTTTTGACGGTTTCTAGTTTGTCCAAGTCAGGGTTGTTTCCTCTTAAATTCGCTTGGGTGGCTTTGAATATTGAACCCGGTCGCCGGTTTATCCTTGATCGCCTCCGTCCTCGACCCGGAAGGTGGACCCTGCAATGGCGCCCTCGCCCCAGCTCTTTGCGCCCAAGGGCTTCTCGATTCTGAAGCTCTACGTCCACTACCAGGTGGGTTTGGGGGGGGGGTTCGGGTTGCCAATCCAGGGAATTGACTTGAAGGGATTGAGCCTCCCTTTAGCAGCATGGTTCGTTTTGTAGGAGGATTGGCAAACCCCGCTCAGTGACATCATATCGTGTTTGTCGTCCTTGTCTTCGCCGTGCAGGATGCATGGTGGAGGAACTACTTGAATCTCGTCGGCGGCGAGTTCTCCAACATGGCAAGCTTTGACGCCCCGAGACTGAACAAGTCATAGCTGGCTCATCAATGGGGTTGTGAAGCTTCGTTGGGCCTCTTTGGTGGAACATCATTGATATGGGCATTTTGCGTGCAAACACTTTTGATGGGGCCCCATTAGAGATCATAGCCATGTCAGAGCATGTGTCCTTTGTTCATGGAGACGATGTGTTCCATTTGTCACACCTCGCCAGGTCGTACATGAAGGACTGCGTTTGAACAGCGCATGTGCTTGCAGGAACAAATGCTCACCTTGCCAGAGCCATATTTTTTGCAGACTCATCAGCTCACCACATAGACAAACACACGCATAGATATTGACACACTCCGAGCAGAGAATTGGCCTTTGCTTGTTTCGATGATGATTTTGTGATGTTTGTCATTTCGTTTGTTGGGGTTGTTGGTAGTGGCCCGGTAGCGCTCACCAGCCAAATGCAGTATTTCCAGACCTATTGTGGTGCTTGTGTGACAGACTTTCTCTCCTAGAGTGGCTCATTTGATGACAGGCTTTCCTAAATCTGTACTTGTACACTTCGACAAAGCTATATGTACACGTATATGCACATGTCTTCATATCTACATAGATGTAGTTGTAGAGGTTGAGAGGTTGTGGACGTAAGCAGATAGATAGATAGATCGACCTGAAGAGAAGGATATAGCTCATATAGCTCTAGGATTTTTGAAGCCCAAGAGGTGTGTTTGAAGGGGAATGCGTTAGTTTTCCTTGTGTTTACATAACCTTTCAGCAAAGATGTAAGACTCAGCCACAAATGCGAGGCTCTCAGTGTCAGAGGGGTATGTGTCGAAATGGGGGACCCTCCGAAATATCCCTGGGTGTCCAAACTGCGCTTTTGGCGCCTCACGCATGTTCCGCCTGAGGACTGGAATGCGCCCTATCAGTTCCCCTTCCCACTGGAGGGCCGCTACTGGGATGGTGACTTCCGCTGCGACGGGACGAACGGTAGCTGCCGAGGCGGGGCAGAAAAGAAGCGTCTAAGATGTATATATATATATATATGGTACCCCCCCCCAGGATCTACCTTCCTTGAGAATTCACTGGTATGTGCAGTGTTTTGTGCCGTTTTTGGGGCTTTGGGGAAAGCAGCAAAAAAGGTGCATTTCCAAAGCCAGTCGGGTTGGATCTACCTCGGTCCTATTCCTACTCTGAGGCTTTGTCAGAAGATGCAAAACAACAGCTATGTTGGAGCCATTGGCCCAAAAGTGAAAACGCAAAGAAGTAAACTTTTAGAGCCAATGACCCAAAAGTAAACAAGTAAAAAAGTAAAATTCTGGAGCCAATGACCCAAAAGTAAACAGTAAACAAAAAATAAGAAGTAAAAACAAAAAGATTAAATAACAAAGACACACAAAAAAGGTAAACAAATAATAATACACAATTTCAATCCATGGTCAAAGCAGTTTACTTCAGGACCATGTTTATTTTTCTTTCTTTCTTTTTCTTCTTTTTTTTCTTGTTTGCTTGTACTTGTTTACTTGTGGAACTAGATGTGAAGTCAAATTCTTATTTGAACCCAGATGCTCTAACGGATTGATTTGTTGGCATAGATTCAATCGAATTTAATAGGTACATACTTTTATTAGAATGTATAGCTTTAAAGAGAATGTACACAGTGTGTGTTTTCTTTTGTTAAAGGTGTTTAATGATTGGAGTTCTTTAAATAGATGTTCAAAGTCCATTAAAACAAGAAACAAACTAATCATGTCTTTTCCATCATGATTTGTTCAATTGTCTAATTGCACCTTAAATAGAAATTGAAAGTAACCAACACCTAATTTAATGTAATGTCTAGACTTAAAGATGACTTGAATATATTTTCCATTTTGAAGAGCATTGTTAATTGGGATTCTTAATTCAAACCATGTTTTAAAGAGAACACCCTTTCCCGGGATATCGTTTCTCAACTTTCTATTTAGATTTTTTTGGAATCTAATCAGGAAATAATTAGTAGAATCTGCAGTTTTAAAGATGATTCAAATAGGATTTCCTTTTCAACGAAAACACAAAATTGGAATTTGAAGAGGATTTCCTTGCTCAGGGTGAGCTGATACTGGTCAAGTCGCATCGGGCATTCCAAATTAAACAGCTGCATTCCATCTCCAAAATAGCCTTCAACCAGCGAAAAGGTAGTTCCATCGGGGGTGGGGGGTTGCATATATATATATATATATACACGTGTGTGTGTGTGTGTGTTCGTTTTTTCTTTTGTTTTTGAGGGTGCTCGGAATAAGGGCGTGCCCTTTGTAGCGGCCATATAGTGCCTGTAAGACCATGCAACCTCTGAGGGTAGTGGTTTTGGGGCAGTGAAAACCATGTTGTGTGTGTGTGTGTGGCAGGGTGTGTGTGTGTCAAAAAAGGGAGGGGACCCCAGCAATTAGTTTCCCGCGAAACCAAGGCGAAACGGGCATCAAGGGAGCTATTTCTGAGGTGTTTGGATGGTCGGAGTAGTAGTGATTGATTTGTTTGCAAAAGGGGGATGCCGAGGATGAGTGGTTTTCCCCAGCTTCCCCTTCAAGCAAGAATGGGCGCCCTTGGAGGAAACATGTCTGGACATGTTCACGGGCACGCATGCATTTCATAGAAGCCTGTACATGAACATATGGAACAAAGTAAACATTGCTCGACAGGAGAATGGGCCTGTTTGGAGCTCATGAAACTTGGGATCCCCAGACACGTTGGGTCCCCTGACCACCGACAGTGAATTTTCGCTCTTTCGCGCCCAGTGCCGATGTCTGGCGGTTCTCAGCACCCGGTCAAAACGTGATGTTGGCGCAAACGTCTGTACCTCAGGGAAAGCCGAAGTCTACCTTACGCCAGGGACTGTGCGCCAACTTAGTTTGCAGCGCAGTTGCTGCGCCAAGGTCAGAGAAAAGGCGGAAAGGGAACTGATGGTCCGTGACGGACGCATCCTATGATACTCTGAGAAGAAGCACAGTCATAGTTGCCAGGAAAGACACTGAATTTGAACTACAATGCTTATGGATCCACTCTATGGCAGCACAGAAAACCAAGCTATCTTGGGCGAGAGAAGTCAGAAGCTTCGCATGAAGAGTCTTACTTCTTTGACGTTCTCCATGACACAAGGGTGGCGCGAGGACGTGGCAGGGGCAACTTCAGCGTGAAGTTCCGCATAGCTTGTGTTGCTCACAGCCTGGCTCTGGACCCACTTGTTTTGGGCACAAGCGAGGCTTTAGTCATTGCCACAACGTATTTGTGGTATAAAAGGAAAAGCGGAGAGCAAGACCAGCAACAGACAACAAGCAAGAGCTTAGTTTCCTTGAAGCCACCAGCAACAGACAACAAGCAAGAGCTAAGTTTCCTTAAAGCAAATCGACCTTTGGATTTGAAGGGGCACCCCATTTCGGTGTACGTTTAGTCAAGGTGCCAGAAGGGTACATCCACTACCATGCTTTCCTGAAAACCCATTTGTGAACAGTTCCATGTTAGTGGGCTCCATTTTTGTGGACTGGAGGGCCCCAACAGAATTGAGCTCAACATCCTCTCCAATACCGCCCCAAGCTCCGGGTTTCTGGATGACACGATTGGCCGCGGCAGGCTACTTGGAGGCCATCTATGGGGGCGGGGATGAGATCATCGACGCCTTCCGGCCTTGGATGCTGGCGGACCGTGGCCCGGCAATCGGGTTGGTGTCCGGTAGGCTTCACCGGACGAGGTGTCCCTTTTGTTTACCTTGATATTTTTCTTTTTGATGGGCGTCCCTAAAAGCATCAGCTCTCCGCAAAAGACAGGGTGGGATTTTTTCTCCCCTTTTCCAAAGGGGAGAACCCTTTCAAAATCAACTACCAAACATCAGAGTGTCCTTGTCGTTGCATGGCCACTCGAGGTGGGAGGACATTCCATGTTGGCGCGCTTAAAAATGAATCCAGGCACAAGTCGGCATTTACTCTCTTTTCCATCATGGAGGCGGACAAGTAGGCCTTTCCAAGCGATGGGTTTATCGATCCAGAGCTGACATTACTACATAAATAGACAGCAAGGTACAACAGCGCCCAGTCCGCACAGGGCACGATTTGTATCTAGCCCCTCTGACACGCTTCCAGGGTGTGACTGCCGATAAGAACCGACCGCCCTCTCTTGTCGAGCCTTCTCTTGGCCTTTGGTCTTGATGATCTCCACTTTGTGTCGATCCCACACTTGCGGCCAGTTGAATTTCACAAAAGATTGGCGCCCTTGCGGAAAAATAAATCCCTAGTGATTTTGGAGGGCCAGCCGCCCATGATCCGAAGCCACTAGAAGGAGTTTCATCTAGGTGTCATGCAGAATTTCGGCCATAGCCAGCGCGCCTGAACTTCTCTATGCTTCTGGATGCTTCGTGATTCGTGCCTTCAGGTTGCTTGCCAGCCCCAACGTTGTGTGTTCGGACAATTGCTGAATGCGCACGTAGGCTTTTATCCATAGAGCCCTTCAGGTGTTTGGTTTCATTTTGGTTTCCCTTGAAGCTATCCCAAGGGGGTTACAAGAGGGTTGAAGCCTATTGTGAGACCAGCTTTTGTGATTATGTCAGGTGTCCGCAAAGAAAATCGCGCCCAAGTAGCTCAGGCAAGGGCGACCCCGTTATCCAGCTGGACTCGAAGAGGGCATCAGTGCTGTAGCTGCAACAGGGGCGGGGGGCGAGCCGAGTGTCTCAAAATAGGCTTCCAGTACCGAGCAGAAACTGGATGGCCTCCCCAAATGAACTTGCAAATGTGCGAACTGCACCAGCCAGAAACGCACTGGCTCGATGCTATGCAGGTCGTGGTTGTTTATGACGCCGAGAGTGCGGGAGCAGTCGTCTCTCATTTGGGGGCATTATCGGCCGAAGTGACAACAACACCACTCGCCCCCAGTCTTTCCGTGTTTTACACCTTAAGATAATATTCTATATCTTAGTGGGAAGCACGCGGTTTGGAGCGTTCCTTTTTTGGGGCCACTCGTGAGCGCCCAAAGAAGCCACCCCCCACCTTCACCGCGATCCGGGGCCCGGGGCCTTAGGACGCGGACCTGCTGAAGCGCATCCACCGTACCTTGGTGCTTCATCACGCGGAGGCGCTCCGGAAGGCCGGGGAACTGGGAGGGGCCGTTTTCCGTGGTAGGATCAGTTCCCTCCGGCCCGCGCTCGGGGGTGGGCCGGGGCAAAACAGCTACAACACCCCCTGGACACCCCCTGGACACACATGGCTTATTCTGAGTGGTCTATTGCATATCCGGCGCGGACCGTAGGGGTGCGAAGCCCAGATCGCCAGATCGCCTGAAATATGTCCATCCGAGGCCCAGATGGAGGCTTCCGTTTGGCTTCTGTGGTTTCCGATTTTTCGGGGTTCTTTTTTGGATGGTGCGTCAAGGGAACCTGAAAGGAAACCAAACGATTTTTGTTGCCAATGCAGCAAAGGCCTTCGTTTTCCGGAAACCTGGAGGATGTCCAAAGGAACGAGCAACAAAGAACAAGGACCAAAGGAATCCAATGCACCAAGCAGATCGGGATAAACAATCTAGCTTGCATACCTCATTCACTGTATGTTCCTCATGATTCAGTCTATTACATACCTGATGTTCTCTGGTTCAGGGCTTTCGGGCAACGCGTCTAGCGATTCATTTGGGTGTCAACATATCCCATTGCACCAACCTTAAAACGGGACCCTCAGCAAGACTCAACCCTATTCGTGCAAGGAAAACTGAGCTGTGCCAACTGGCGGCCATGCTCTTGGCTTCAGGTGGGCAAGCTGGAGCTGGTGAATGCCAGCCCCGCGGCCTTGGGGGTCTTATTGCGGGGGCGGGGGATGTGGTGGGAAGCCGACCTTTTGGTTGGGTCGGAGCGACTTAAAGCAAACCAAGCATTCTTGGGTCCCTCAATTTTCGACACATCCACGTTCCATCCAATGTGTTCACAGTGAGTGGTGGGGAACATGGTATTCGGGGTCAGAGCTCAGGGATTGTCTGCGGAAATGTGGCACCAGCAAGCAAGCGAGCGAGCGATTGAGCGAGCAAGCAAGCAAGCAAGCACGTACGCATGCAAGCCAGCGAGCGAGCAAGCGAGCAAGCAAGCAAGCAACTCCCATCCCCTAAACCATCCTTGATTCACCAACCTAACCCACCCTTCTTGCAAAAGCATACAGGGACGATGCCTTTGCACCTCATGACTTTGTCAATTTGGTGGAGTCAACGCAACGCCGGACCTGTTGGGAGACGCGTTCCACTCGCACCAAGGCTTGCCGGACTCCGCCGTGCTCTCCAGCTGGACTGCAGAGGCCGCAGTGGGCTGGATCCAGAGAAGTGGGCTTGAATTGAGCAGTTTCTGGCCTGCCCCCACACACACACACATATATATATATACATATATATATATATATATATGTATATATATATATGTATATATCCGAGGAGGTTGTTTACCACGAGAGGGATGGCTTGGCTCGAGTGTCTCTTCTGATGGCTGATCTGGTAGATTGGTAGTCCTCGATCATCAGGAGATGGCAGATCAGCCAAAGCATCGACATTTGTAGGTGCAAGGGAAACACAATGTACGGAGCGGGACATCTAGTTCCTTTTTTTTCAGCTAGGGCCGGGGATGTGGGCGGAGTGGGTAGGGGTGACAGGCGCAAGCCAAGAGGCAAGCCCAAAGGATTTTGGAAGCCCTGGCTGTCTAGTGGGGCCGAACTCGTTTTGACAAAGCAGCCATGGGGTGCTCTCCTGTGCCGCTGACGGACATGTGGCCACAGGCTTCAATCCGGGAGTATCTCAAGAAACGAGATTGAGCAAAAGGGGGACACCTTTCTGAAACCCAAAGGTGGCATTTTTGAGAAAGGAGCAAAACAATGGGCAGGGCTCCAAAGTGACTCCGACCATTTCTCCATCCATTCGCAGCACCAGGCCGCAGGCTTCGAGGCTGGCTGCCATGGCCTGAAGGCGCAAGCTCCGGTGATGGCTTGTGATGATGGGGCTGGCCACCGTTGGATTGCACCTGGAACATTGACTAAGGATGTGGCGCAGCTTGACACGCACAAACACACACATCAAGAGGGAGTTATGATCTGACATCAATCCTTTGCAGCTCATCTTTTGCTGGTTTCGCTGCTTGCAGTGGATTTGCAATGATTCCAGAACAGCAGGAATCCATGCTTAAACTTATGGGTTATGTGAGCCGAAGAAAGCAGTGCCTTCCCAACAATGATGAAACCGGGGTCCCGGTTTTTCCACATGGCTCAGTGTATCCGTGGGCCCCCAGGTGCCCAGCCCCAAGGGCGCCTTGGCTGCTTTCCGGAGCAAGCTGGGGCTTGGGGCGGTGCGTGTTGCGTCGATGTTGAGGACCGGAGAAACGTGGGAACACCCGCAGAGTCGGAACACAAGTGGCCAAATTCAGGGGCGTTCTTTGTCTGCGACCGGGAAAGGAGTCAACTGATCTGGTGATTCGTCATTGTCAGAATCGGAATTAGTTTTGAGGGTTTGCGATAGCAGCCTCACTTGGGATCAAATGACTTGGCTTAGGATTCGAGTGCAAAAGGCAGAAGATATTGGCTCGAGACAGAGAAGCCTTTCTTGATTGATCCCTTCTTGTCCTCGCCGGGACTTTTGTCCATTGCTGAACAGCGACTGCTTACCAGCAGGCTCTTCATCGCTGCCGCCGTGGTTGCCGTTCTAATCGTGGTTGTAGTTGCGGTGTTGGTGTTGGCCGTCATGGTCGTTGTGGTCGGTCATGGTCGTCGAAGGTGTCGTGGTGGCGGTCATCGTGGTTGCGGTTAAGCTTGTGGTGGCCGTGGTTGTGGTGGATGTGCTTGTCGTTTTGTTGTTGGTGGTGGTGCTGGTGATGGCAATAGCGGGGGTGTTGGTGGTTGGCAGCTGCTGCTGTTGCCGCCAAGGCACTGGCATGGAGGATATCCAGCCAGTCTACAACTCCAGTCACTTGTCCTGGTGGTCTTGCTGCTTTTCAGGGTGTGTGGTTGAGGGGCAGAGAAAACCGTACTACTTGTTAAAGTCAGGGGACGTCAGGGATCACCCAGACCTCTGTAACTGGGCAGGTATCATTAGCCGAGGCCCCCGGTTCGTGTACTTCTTTTGACGCAAGATAGCTGCCCAGAGGCCCGCCAACGTGGCCTCCCGCCAAGAGGAGGCCACCCCATTGTCAACCACGGCATCTGAAGGTTGGACCTCGCTCAAAGCTGAAAGCGGCCCTTTCACAGCCTTGGCACCGAGCAGAGTTCGGTTTGGATTCAGATTGAACGCGTGAAACACAGCGTACAGCTGCAGCCGACCACAGTCCTGGCATTCGGCTATCAACTGGAAGAACGAGTTTGCCTCTTTTTGGTGGTGCCAGACGAGCAGTGCTCCAGTCACTTTGCAAGATGGGGGCGGCGTATTTTCTGATGGTTCCACTGGACCATGCCAGCTGTGACAACATTTTTCTATTTGACCAGCAGCCGTAGCATTGTGTCAAACAATGGGGAACCGCTTTCGTTGATCTTCATAAGGAAAGCAACATGACTATCAACCAATTCCTTTTGGGCCCTACTCTTTCCTCCTCCATGTTAACTTGCCGGGGTTTCGTTTCGTTCGGTGAACTCGTTTCAATGGCTGCCCACTGCTCTGAGCGGCACCTGTCGTGTGACGTCAATCGAGGCGCGCAGCGCCTCAAGTTTGTGCAGCCGCTGGGCAAGGATGTGCGTGTCTTCCTGGCGGATGAGGCGCGCTGTCAAAGGGAACAACCTGAGGGGCCCTTTGAATATGTACACGTTGATATACACATACATGGATATATATATATATATATATATATATGTCACGCTATGTATATATATATATATACACTGTATATACATATACATCAACATATCCTTACTTCGGGTTCTGTGTTTGGTGAGAATTTGCTTTGGCTGCTGGGCTTCTTTAGTATCCCCCCCAGAAATTGTCACATCGGCGCTGTGCTAACACAAGCGCAACACGTTCAAGAAACGGCGCAACATCCCTCCAAGGAAGGGACCTCCCTTAGAAGAAACAAACGGCTGCAGATCCGAGAAGGCCTCCAAGGACGCCAAGGGGTGACTTGGGGTTTAGGGTAACACTCCTGGAGCACTTATGCCTGGTAAGGACAGCAATCACGCATGTATTTAAGCATATGCATGTATATATGCATGTATATATATATATATATATATATATATATATATCACTATCACTGTCACTCATGAACACGGCCAAATTGCGTGTAGATACGTAGAAACAAACGTGTCCATTCATTTACAGCACCCCGCCCTACGTTCCAAGAGGTTGGCCCCGGGCCCTGGACTCTGCAGGCCTACGGGTGGCCCAGCTGCTGGGCCGAGAGCTCTTTGATCCTGGCGGAGCCCTTTGGCTCACGTGGGGACCCTTGGGACCCGGACGTGTGGGTGGGGTGGGTGGGGTGGGGTGGGTGAGGCCTTATATGCGTCCAGGATTTAGGGTGTTGCCTATAGAGCGGCGCAGGGAGCTTTTCTGGGTGCTGAGATTGATGGATCCCAGGAACGCGGTGCATGAGATGGAGGGACTTGGGAAGCCGGACTGGATGCCGGAGTCCGTGTACCGCTTCGTGATGTTCAAGGCGCTGGTGGGGCATGGGGAGGGTGAGGAAAGATTTGTTGGGTCGCCACCGGGTCCTTGATGAAACATAAGATTCTAAGATGTTTATGTGGGTTTTGCGTTTGGTTTCCCCTACCAACCCCTCAAAAATGACATCCCACATGTTTAAACTGTGGGCTGGCCCAAGCGTGCATGGCCCCCGCCAGATCCAACGGCTTGGTGCCTTGGTCGAGCTCTGGGGAGTCCCTGATTGCCAGTTTTGGAAGAGGATTTGCCCAGACTTGGCTCTCAGAATGAAGCTCCGATTCGTTTTGCAGCGCAGTCGATCTGAAAGCGCAGAGAATGTCCGATGTAGCCCAGGCAAGTGGATGGAACTCGAACCTCACTTTGGAGCCGCTGTGTGCTACCATGGCCCTCTACCTTTCAAGAAAGCTAAGGGATGCAAACTGGGCAATTCGGTTTGACCAAAGGCCAAGGCTGCACCTTCGCAGCTTTCCCAACAGTAGAATTGGCTGTGCTCACTTCCCTCTAAGGCCTCCGATCCTGAACCACCCGCACGGAGGTTTATGGGAGCCGCACACAGCCGTAGGCATGGACAAAACCTTGACTGCTATTGGGCTGGATCTGTAGACCTCACCTTTTCCGGAAATCAAGGGGTTTTCCACTAAACCCCCAAAAGTTCAACCTTTGCAGGAGGGTCAAAAGCAACCAAGAAAAGAGCGTCTTCCCCCGGGTTTTTCTTGAAAAAAGCGTCTCCCGGCTGCAGGACCAGGGGCCCCCTGCAGAGGGCTTTGTGGCGCCCAGCTGCGGCGGGGATCCCTTCCTGCAGCGAGATCGGGTGCGGCCAGGCGAGTGGACGGAGCGGGGATGGCGAGCCCAAGGGGTAGAGGTCGGGAACACGAGTCGCTTGCGGCATGCGTTTGGAGCTCCTTGTTTTGTAGTCTTATTGGAAATGCACGCGAGGCGTTCCGGATGGTTTGTAAAGCCTTTGGGCAAGAGGCTTCAGAGTATTTGACGAGTTTTGATGCACACAAGGTGCCCGTGACTCGAGGTAAAAGGAGTCCGTTGAAGGGTCCACAATTGTTGGTATGTTCCTCACGCGCATAGGCAAGGACTGGACATGACGAAACAGACGGTAGCTGAGTTTGCGCTTTACCACTGCTGCTTTGTGCCTTGAGGGTCCTTTTGTCTCGTGCAAGCTGTCGCGTGACTTGACACGCATATGCCTGCGAAACGTATGAGCAATCTCTCGCAACAAGGATCATGATATGTTGTCCTTGCTAAAGTCAAGCGCTTGTTTGATTAAGCGATTGTGTTTGATTTGTCAAGCCGTTACAGAACCAAATTAAGTGAACTAGTATTTGCTTAGCATTGTCTAGATCTTCCATACATAGACACCTACGTACATGTACATATCGATAACTTTCAGGCCCCAGCCAGGCCGTGACTTCGTGGTGTGAGCCCCGCGCGCTGCCGCGAACCGCGAGCGAGGCCCGGCAACTCGTTTTTGGCCCGGCTTCCAACCCTTGAGGAAAAACCGTTTTAGTTTTCTCCTTGCGCCTTTTTGCGTTGCTGGCTTCTCTGAAACATCAACCGACAAGAACGAGTGCCCTTTAGTGGTGCCAGCTTCCTCAGCTTCGGGGCACTCATGTCCCTTTGGAGGGCTCCCTGTTGCAAAATCAACCAAGAAAACCTGGTGCCACTCGAGGTCTGAGCAAAGGGCTGGAGAAGCGGCAAGCCAGGTTTTTGACCTCTATTTTGCCTTGTTTATGTGGAGCTCCTTTACAATGAAACCAAAAGGACCCTCTCCTCCCCCATTTTTAAGTTTCTTGCTTTTGTAAGGGCCCAAGTCAGCAAACAGATATCCTTCTGAGAAGGTTCTTTAGAACCTTTCGAGGGGAAAAAGCGTGGGAAACCCCGGGGCTGATGCATTGGTTTGTTCCTTTTTGGGGCATGGGATCAGCTGTCACCTCCCCCAATTTGGGCAAATCACACGGACACAAAAACTGGGGTCAGGCGACCAAACGACATACCTGATGGTCTCTGTCTTGATCCATTCTTCCAGGTCGGTGAATATGACACGAGCGACAAGCAGTGTGCTTACTTCTCCCTTCGTTTCGGCCCAATGTCTGGGCTTTCATTTCCAAGTTTGCGAGTGCGCCAGCAAAACTGAACAAGCCCAAACGACAAGCACACATTTCGAGGTAAACGAATTGGTTTTGATGTTTCTCAAGGCCCTCTTCTGTGAGCCTTTTTCATTTTCTTTCTTGAGACACACTTGAGGCTTCAGAGCATCAAACGGTTGGGGACATTTCACTTCGGCCCCTCGACAGGATGTCAGGCAGTGCATGAATCAGATCTCCATGCGGCTCCGTTTTGCGTTGCACTCATGTCAGCAATTGACGGCTCCAAATTGCCATCGTGTTTGCGTGGTTTTTCCCCCTTGGTCAAGGTCAAACGGGGCTGGATCACGCCAGGTTCGCCAAAGGCCCCGCGGCGCGGCCTCGTGAGATGCAACTCGGGGGTTCCGGGGCCGGTCTGCCGCGGCAGATTTTGACGTTTTCGTGCTTTTGTTCCAAGAAAGGCGCATTCAATGCGTTTAATGCTTTTGTCTGGCTTTGTTTGTGCCAGACTTTGCAGTGTGCTCCTTTGCCTTTGTCAAGTGGGAATCCTTTGTCTCAATTTGGATGGCGCAGAAGCCGAGTTTGCCGCTTGTTTGGGCGGTTGCGGCTGAGTGCGCTGGCCAAGACAGCCATGTTGGACGCTGGCTGGGATACTGACTGATGGCATCGCCCAGAGTTTTCGCGTCCACATCTCACGGCCTATTGTTCCTTCAAAGGCGGAAACATAAATCCCAGATATCAGGAACCCCAAATGCAAGGCGAACTGGTGCCAACCGCTGCACAAGAGCGGCTCTTGTGCGGCCCTTTTCCGAGCGGGGTTTAGCCAACAATCCGAGCGTCGAGGCCGTTGTGGCAACCCGCACGCACCTGATTGGCTGGCAAATAGGACTGGACTGATGGCAAAATGGGAGTGGGAGGGGAGCTGGCTGTGGAAATGGGCAGGAATGTTAATTCGGGTGCGTTGCTGGACATGTCCACCAACCACTTTTGAGATGGTTCCCTATAAAACTCATAGCCAAATGGGTGTCGCGAGATAAGCCACCCTCAAAAGTGGGTTGGTTTCGTTTTGTGTTTTTGACAAAAGCCCTCAGACTGCTTCTGGCGGTCTTCCGAAGACCTCAGAAAGATGTGTGTTAAGACTAGTGTCTCTTTTTGGGCACAGCATGAAGCGAAAGTCCACCATCACCATTCGAGCGGTTTGTAGTTCTGCCAATAGAGGAAATCTGCTTGCAGAGGCAATCGCAAGTTGGGCTTCCGGTGGATTCTGGCCTGGGGTGCCTCTAAACATGCTGTTGGGATCTGCAAGGGGTTCATGGCAAGATGTGGGATGGGAGGGATTCATGCCAGGCACCGACGTATCAAGGAGAAGTACGGTCAGTCGGAGTTCAAGAAGATGATGAACCGAACCAAATTCGGCCCGGGGCCCCGGGCCTTTGCTTTGTTTTTCCACAGGGACGATTGCATCACCCTGTCCAGGAAAGCACATGTCCCTAACCTCAAAATGGTTCCACAGTGCACCTTCCATCCCAGTGCCCCATGCGAAAACGGTTTTCGTGCAATGCAAGCCGGAAAGGGCAGACGGGAGACTCAATCGCAGTGCGTCGAGCGCAGCTGGGCAAGGCATGGACGCGGAAGACGACATCTACACAGAGGCGAGGGCGCAAGTGCCAGCCGGTGGCTCCGCAACTTTGGAGTCACTGGGTGGAGTTGGGTTGGCCGTGTGCATCCCTTGCAAAGGCCCTCTTGGGGCCTTGAAGTGAATTCTGGGCAGTTTTGCTGGAGCAGATTGGAGGGAAAGCACAGGTTCAGGTCCAGCGGCTCAGGGCTTCTTCAACGCTGGTCGGCTTTGGGCTCAAACCCATTAGAGGATAACATCCCTCAGGTGCTGCACGTTCCTTGGGAGCCTTCTATGCTGTCCTTTTCTCCGGGATGTTGGTTGGCTTCGCGCTTGCTCTTGAATTTACCTTCAAACATTGCCCTTGGATCTCGGTCTGGCTTTTCACGTTCCATGTGAAATTCGGATCCGAATGTCTCAGATCCTGAAGGTCAACTTGAAGGGGGGATTTTGCGGTTGCGGTGAGATCTGGGTCTTGCCCTCGAACTGCTCGGCGCATGTGAAGAGGGCTGTTCCTGTTACCATTGAAGTCCACGCGCTTTGGACACCTCCCTTCCAATCGCTGCGATGCTATGTCAAGGAAACGGTTTTCCGAGAAAAGAGGGAGAGAGAGAGAGAGAAAGAGAAAGAGAGAGAGAGCAAGCTTGAACCCCAGACACTTGTTTCATTGTCGGGACGCCATGCGATTTTAACTTCAGCCGGGCACTTGGACCTCTGGACTAGCAACTGGCCTCCCATTTGTGCCAGGAGTGGGGTCTTGGTCTGCCGTACTTCGAAGGCAAGCCGGTGCCACTCAAAGCTGCCAAGGCACGCGCGCCGAAGCTGAGGGTTGGGACCAGATTCAGCTGCTTTCTTTACCCCAGACCTGCTCGGTTTTCATTTTCTCCCTTTTCTGGAAAGGGCTTCCTTTCAGAATCAGCTGCCAACAGAAAGTGGCCACTGGAGGGGTTGGTGCGCCATTCCGCTTGACTTGTTTTTTACCAGTTGGCCATTAGGAATGATTCGTTGGTCTCCTTTGGGCTTCCTACAGCCCAAAGGCGGTTCACCAAGTTGAGACCCCAGTCTTGGTTGCGTTTCCGAGTTCCCCTCATGTCTCCGTCGCCTTTCCGCAGCTGTGAGAAGCTTCGCCCCGGGCCGGCGCCTGGGCGCAGAGGAAATCACGGGAGCGATGGCGCGCTTGGACTGGGCCCAGGTGGGCTTCGCGGCGTGCATGATGGCGGCTCGGCGTCGAAATGTCAACTGGAACTCCCGAAGTTGGAGAAAAATCCAATGTGCTCTTTTTATCTCTTTTTTAATAAGTTCAGATTGCAGGGATTTCGAATAATTTGGAGACACCCATGTCCATGTGTTGCTCTTTTGAATGGTTCATTGGGCCAATGAAGTTCAGATTGCAGGGATTTCGAATAATTTGGAGACACCCATGTCCATGTGTTGCTCTTTTGAATGGTTCATTGGGCCAATGAAGTTCAGATTGCAGGGATTTCGAATAATTTGGAGACACCCATGTCCATGTGTTGCTCTTTTGAATGGTTCATTGGGCCAATGAAGTTCAGATTGCAGGGATTTCGAATAATTTGGAGACACCCATGTCCATGTGTTGCTCTTTTGAATGGTTCATTGAGCCAATGAAGTTCAGATTGCAGGAATGTCGAATAATTTGGAGACACCCATGTGGTGCTCTTTTGAATGGTTCATTGGGTGGGCCAATGTTCAGATTGCAGGGATTTCAATTGTTGGTGTGGCTTGGCTCGTGTCGCCTCGTGAGGAGGGTGCTATGCTGGAATTGTCTGAGTCAGCATTGATCAACGACAGGTTCGCTTGTGCATCCCTCAACCTTGGCCAACATCAACACCTCAGTCGCTACTACTTGGCCACGCTGCCAGCGCCAGAACTTGTTGTAAGCGTTGCCGGCATTGCCTGCGTTGTCTCGCCCGTGCAACCGTCAGACAACCTCCGCAAAGCCACTCATACGGCCCACCTAAAACCCTCATAAAATTGCGGATCAAGCCAATCTTGGAGGCCTCCCCCCCGTATTCCCGGTGGCTCGCTAGCAGTTTGCTTCAGTGAGTGAATGCCTCGATCGTGACGTGTTCGCATTTTGCACCGTAGGAGCATCACGATAGTATCGATTGTTTGTCAAACACATGGCTTATTGGTGGACACAAATCCCCATGTAAATGATGTCCAGCAAAGGGTCCATGCGGTCTCCCTTCCAGACCACCCCCAAAAACTGGGACGCTGGTGCGCTCAAAAAAGGCACGCACACACACACACACAACCACACACTGCAAAGCACAAAGACGTGGTGCTTTGCAGAAATTTTCAAACGCAAAATCAGATACATTTTCCAAAGTTTTGGGATGTGTTTGGCTTTCAGGTGAACCTGGTGGACGTCATGGGCATGTTCTTCACTGCCCCAGTGCTGATCCCTTACGGCCAGTCCTTGGGCGCCAGCACCTCGGAGATCGCCAGCTTCAACACGGTGGCTCGGCCGCGGGTTTGGTTTGGCGTTTTGGTTGGGGCGTTTGAAAACGGTTTGGCTCCCCCTAGGCGACTAAAACCATGATAAGCATGGTGGAAGACGTTGAGACGTTGTGGAAACCAAGGACATCCTTTTCTAAAGATTGGAGACCAACACCCGTGGCTTGAAACACGTGTCAGTTGCATGCTTGGGTCAAGCCACCTGGTTTTTGAATAACTCGCGGCTAGGCGGTGGTATTGAGTAACGGTTAGTTGCTCGGACAGCGTAAGACCTGGTCGCACCTCAAATCCCCCCAGGTACCACCGGGACCGCACTAAGCCGTCCCGTGGAAACCTTAAAACGTGCGACTGAATAACTCGCGGTTGTTGAAACAGCCTTCTTTCGGTTTCCCTGTACAGGCAGGCGGCCAGGGTCTGGTTTCCCAACAGTGTCTTTTTTAGACGCTACATTCGTGCTCCCCAAAGTAGGGTAAAATGATGGGGGAATCTGGGATCCCCTTGTGCTAGGCGGATCGAGGGACGGAGGGTGTGCGTGTGGGGGGGGCACAGGGAAGGCAAGGGGGGGGGGGCTTGAGCATGGCGGCCGGCTACAAAGTTTCAAGTGGCGGGAGATCAAACAAATGGTGGAACATCTCGTGTCCACGGAGGGGGGTCAACAGCAATGATGGAATCAATGCCTTAGTGGTTTAGCCCATCCTGCCCGAAAAGGCCGCAGGTAGGCCACAGCCGACAGTCGACGGCTGAAGCACGTCTTTCGGTTACGGTGGCTTGTGGCTGGGTGCTGTATCAGTGGACGTGAAACCATGTTTTTGCTAGGTGATGTTCATAGATCGAGATTGAACTTATTTGAATTCGACTCCCAGGCTGGCACGAGACAAGGCCTTTGCCAAGAAAGTTTGAGCTGCTGTTCAGAACTCTCGTTCTGAAGGTCGCCCTGCCGGTGCACCCCAAGGATCCGTGCCACGTAGGTGTTTAGAGAAATGGACTACCTTAAGATTGCGAGGCCGCTTGGGCTGTCCCTTACAAGGACCAGCTTTGGCGGACTGCAATCGTGTTTCCATCTGCAGAGAATCCAGCAAATCAGACAGGGCTCTGCACAAACAGAAACAGGAATCCCAAAATCGGTTAGTCCCAAAAATGTGATTCGGAGGCAGACGCAGCCTTATTTGCAGCCTCAACCAAAACTACCCTCCTTGTCAACACACAATTTCCTTGTGCTGAATCATAGAAAGATATCGTGCCAACCATTTCAGGCACAAGCACATTGTGGGGGCTTCCTTTTCCGGCGCGCAGAGTCAAAACAATTGGCTTCTTCCCTTTGACAAATCCTAAACCCACGCCCTGGTTCCGCACGGTTTGACTATAAATTATAAATATATAGTCAGCCTGGCAGATGACGAGGGTGTTTCGTAAAGTGACCGTGCCCTATAAAGTGGAATCCTGTTAGAGTACTTGGCAGTTTCAGCCCGGACAGAAGCGAGGCGCGCTTTGCCATGGCCATCGTCTCGCTGCTTCTTGGCTCAGCGAGCTGCTTCCGATTTGAGGGTTTGATACGAGGGGCACCTGAGAAGCTGTAAGTGAGCCAAGCGAGAAGGGCCACGTTGTGGATATTGGCCTAAATGTTCATTGGAGGAGCCAGCAAAAACGCAGCCATGTACTAAGATCCCTTTGACTGATGCATGTTTAGGAGGGCCTACAACTGCCAGCGCTTCCAGACTTGGGATACGCTCCAAAAACATACGTTCAGAGGGAGTAACATAGAAGCTCTGACTATGACAATGACTGGAGAATTGCCTTTGAGCGGTTTTACCAGTGTCCGGAATTGCTCCTAACATACAGTTGTTCGTCATCATTATCCCGCCTCTGCAAAACACATGGCACCACAGTCACCACGGTCGCACGTCGGAGCCTTCGGAGAATGTTGGGCAACACCTCACGATGGGCAGTTGGAAACAGACGCTTCCAAGCGCTTCCTGAGCGTGCCAGTACTGCCAGTACTGACACCTTAGTCTTCAACCAAAGTGGCTCGCCTCTACTGTTGACCCAGCCTACGTTTCTAAATCCTCCTGATTCGAACTTGGAAGTGCACATGCCAGGAAGAAACAACACAAGCCAACAGAGAAGCACACACACACACAAGGCATTTTGAGGGGGTCCAACCACACTCACGATTACGGCGGGAAGAACACGTGAAAGACTCACAGTCTCTCGTTGCCGGCCTTGATCCTTGGTAATGATGCCTGCTGACAGAATAGCACACCAAGCTGGCCATAACACCTAAGGGCTATTTTACACCAGCTGCTTCCTGAGAAGGAATCGCTGCGTCGAAGAGACACTGCGCGCTGTCGCAAAGGAACTTGTTGCATGAGGTGAAGAGCTTTACTCAACAAGAATACCGTGGGAATTGCGAGCCATGTCTTTCTTGGGTCCGGGATCTTGGTTCACTGGGTCTCGCTGGGGCTGGAAAGTGGAAACTGGTTTCGGGACACGCCCACCATTGAGATGCCAGTGGCCCAACTTGGGGTTCCTTGTTTCACCCAAGGTCGGCTTTTGCCAAGGTTGGGCAAGATTGGTTTCTAACCGAACGGTAGGTGTTGAAGCCAGGGTTTCAACCCATTTGTTTGATGACCATAGGTGTGTCAATTCCACCATAGGTGTCCAGTTGCCTCAACCACAAGCACGTTACGAACCTCGCCTGAGGCTGTGGATGCCGAAGCTGGCGGATAAGCAGGGCACCAAGCTCTGTGTGCTCATCTCGGTGCTGGGCACTGCTGTGGCCTATGGGGTGCAGGGCGCCTTGCCCGGAGTGGCCGTGTTCTCTTTTTCTCTTTGGGGGAACCCGAAGAGGGGCAGAGGGGTGGCCATGGCAAAAAAAGCTGCTTTTTTTGGGAACCCTGAAAGGGTGGAGGGGCGGGTTCCTTTTCACTTTCCCTTTCGAAATTAAGCTCAGAGGGGTTGGACAAATTCAAGCCCATGTGGGAACATTTGCAGCAATCAAATGGGAGTTCAAGTAGTGAGACGCCCTAATGTGGGAGCCACCTCGTTTGCGCTTCGGATCGTGATGTGTTGGTAGCTTTTTGTGACAGGCAATGCATGAGCAGCTCGAGGCAATTCGTCTATTCAAGAGGCGGACCCAAGGAACATTGATGCTGGATCTCAACAAATCCCAACAGCCGCATCTCAGCTTTTCTATCGCCCAGTGATCAACCAGGGAGTTCATTTGTCCAATGGTTTTGCTGTGACCGTGGCCGTGCGTATGTGCCAGGAAATGCGTACCTCCTCAGTGGCTGCGCCAAAGAGACCTACACGCTCGCAGCCAACGAGACCATGACGCTCTGGACAGGCCATGAGTGCCCCTCGGCACTTTCATCCGGCTAGACTGGGGGCTTCGCTGGGTCCAAGGAGGCGTCCCAGTCAGCCCCCCTGTTTTTGCATCACTTCTTAGGGCTGGCTCTGCGAGTAATATGGCACGTGTGAGTACACCACGTCTACAGCTAAGGCCAGGTGTTGACTGGCAATGTCACCTTGGCCGATGCGTCAGCCACTGCACAGAGCGGAGGCGTGCCCGGGAGGTGTTTAGTCCCTTGACGATCACCCCAGGAGATTTGTTTGGATGTTTCGTTTCATAGGTTCTGTGTGGCAAGTTCAGGAGAGGAGTACCGCGCCAACTATGACAAGCTTGGGGAAGACGAATTCACCCATGAAGGTCCCTCTCTAGATTCCTTCATTGTTGGTGAATCAGAGTGATTCGTGGAAATAGCAATGCAAATAGTCAATCTTTCGAAAACAATCAGCACCAGGTACGTTGGAGTGTACCCCAAGCTGCGGCAACAAGAACGGGGTGTACTTCATGATCTTCGGACAGATTCTCGCCGGCTTCTTTGGAGGCCGGAACCCTGGCAGCCGATAGGGTCGAGATTTGACTTGTTTCATGTGGATATGTCTGTTTTTGAGGTATATACCCTTGTCTGCCTTGAGGATGTGCCCAACTTTGTTCCAGTCCCCAGGACACCAACCCCCCCCCCCTCCAGGGGTAGGCACCCCGCTGCTACGGTCCCTAGGCCCCCTCGAGCCCCTGAACTCGCACCCTTGCAATCCACAACCAACCCCGAACCCCAACCCCAAACCAATCCTACACCCCTAACCCTCAACCCTAACCCTAAACCAACCCGACATCGACCCTAAACCAATCCTAAGCCAACCCTCCTAAACCCACTGTAAACCAACCCTAAACCCACCCTAAACCCACCCGCAAACCATCCCTAAACCAAGCCCAAGCCAACCCTAAACCAACCCTATACCCACGCTAAACCAACCCTAAACCAACCCAAACCCCACCCAACCCACCTACCCTCCCGCCCCCACAGGGGGGGGGGGTTAAACAAACCGCTGTAAAAACCAATGTTTTCAAACGAAGCCAGACTCGAATCTGAAAACGGATTCCGTTTTCGCTTTGTTGCCTTTCAAGCTTAAACAAAACAAACATTTGCTGTCATATAGAAGGTAACACACCAACATAAACACTGTATTTTACAGTGTTTTCAGGCACCTGCAAGAACAAGGCACACAGAGTAGAGTTGACACCTTCAACTAGAAGAGAGGAAAGGTAGGCCCTGAGGGGGAGGTGACCAGATGTGTATAAATATGTATATATATATATAAATAGATAGATAGGCCGTGGACTCCCCTGAGTACACCAGGGAACAAAGATTGAAAAAATGAGTTTTTTGCA